GGGGAAAAAGCTACGGGCGATTTTAGGTGTCAGTTTCTGTCTTATAAGACTCGAAAAAATTTTTGAACAGTTCCGGCAGTTCTGTTGCGAGTTCCCGGTAGCCCCCGCAGAGTTCTATCGAAAATCCTAATGGCAAAAGTGTGTGTGATTAATACTTTTATAGTTATGCCTATTTCTGGGGTACTGTTTCTTGATTCTTCAACTTCGTTTCTTGTTACTTTCTCGTGCAGAACTATTGTTAAAATGTATCAAGAACTCTAGAACTATATGAAATCTATCCAGAACTCCATTAAAAAATTAGTTTTTACGAAAATGGGGGGGCTGCGTGAAGTTAGCCCCCCATTTTTAAAAATTCATTTTAACGTCTTTAATGGGCAGAACTATTTCTAAAACCCATCAAGAACTCTGGAACTATTGTAAATCTATAGGGAACTCGTAAAAAAAGTTAAATTTTTAAATAATGGGGGGCTAACTTCACAGGGGTGTCCGTGGCGCGTCTGCCGCGGATGCGTCCGTGGCGCGTCTGCCGCGGATGCGTCCGTGGCGCGTCTGCCGCGAATGCCACTACCCACGTTCTCGGGGAAATACGAGGACTGGGAGAGCTTTTGCGATCTTTTTACCGCTCTGGTACATAAGGTGCCCAAGTTCGCGGACGTGACGAAGTTGCAATTCTTAAAGTCGTGCTTGAAGGGTCCGGCGGCGGAGTTGATTAAAGACGTCAAAACGACGAACGCGAATTACGGTAGTACATGGTCTGCGCTCAAGGCGAGATACCATAACCCACGTCTCATTCTCGCAAGACACCTCACGGCGTTGTTACAACTTCAGCCGTTGAGGAAAGAAACCGTGATAGGCTTGCGCGCGTTTACCGACGAGGCGACGCGGATTATTCGTGCGCTCACGAACATGGGATTACCGGTGTTACACTGGGATCAGTGGCTTGTCCACGTTCTCGCTGAGAAATTAGATCCGGAGTCCAGACGACTCTGGGAGGCTGAGCTCAGCGCGAAAGACCGAACGGCCGCGTTGAACATGGCATCGGCAGACTTCAACCTGCTGAAATACTTGCCTACTTTCGCGGATTTAGTAGACTTTCTGGAAAGAAGGGCGCAGACGCTCAACATGTTGAGCTCTGAGTCTCTAACTAACAAGGGGGAGAAAAGAACAGCTCAGGACAATAAGCCTGTTAGTAAAACGCGAAAGGTCTTTCACGCTAGCGCTTCCTCCACGTCTCCGGATAAGATGAAGTGTATTGTTTGCGCGGGGGCTCATCCCCTGATGAAATGCGTTACCTTTAAGTCGAAGACAGCGAGTGACCGATACGCATGTGTGCAGCGTTCGGGCGCTTGCTACAATTGCTTCGGGAAACACCGAGTGCGCGATTGTCAATCGGATAAGCGATGTGGCGTCTCCGGTTGCCAGCGGAAGCACCACACTCTTTTGCATTTGAAGACGGCTGCCAAGCAGGCCGTGGAGAGTCGCGTGTCCCCGACGGTGAAGGCCGAAGGGACAGACACTGTGGCAAAACCAGTAGTTGTTAGCTCTCACTCTGCCAGAGCTTCTCCACTTTCGGAGACGGTCTTATTAGCGACGGCTCAGGTCGGTGCTTTGAGTTCGAGCGAGGAGGTAATCAGAGTCCGTGCTTTGTTAGATCAGGGCTCGGAGGCCTCTTTCGTGTCCGAATCGGTAGCTCAGCTACTCGAGTTGCCGAGACGACCGGTGGAGGTTTCGTTGCGAGGAATAAGCGGTAGTAGAGCCGGTGCCGCTCATTCAATTGTCCGGTTAGTGTTGCGATCACTGGTCGACTCGCGATCTTCAGTCGAGATTGATGCCCTTGTTCTGCCGCGTCTCACGGCACCACTGCCGGCATGCTCGCTGAAGGAGCACGCTTTACCGCAACTTCAAGGACTGCCGTTGGCAGATCCGCAGTTTACCATCTCGAACCCGGTGGATCTTATCCTGGGGGCGGATGTGTATGGTCAGATCTTAAAGTCAGGCGTGAAGCGCTGGCCCGCTTCGCGTCTTGTGGCACAGAACACCGTATTCGGTTGGGTGGTTTCTGGCGCGATTACAGCCGACCCGGCACGGCGGGCGGTTTCGACATCCCTTTTGCATTGTTCTACTAACCAGACTTGCTGAAGGCGATGGAAGGTTTCTGGAGATTAGAGGAAATCCCGTTGTCTCTAGATAAATGGAATAACGAGGAGCAGACTTGCGACGAGTTATTTAGCCAGACGCATTCGCGTACCTCAGAGGGTCGATATGTAGTACGGCTCCCGTTCAGATCGGGCCGTCCGGAGGCCGCTGGGGAGACACGTGGAATGGCGCTAGGCTCTCTCAGATCAATGCACCGTCGCTTTGCACGGGACGCGAGATTAGCTCGATCATACCGAGAATTCATGGAGACGTATGAGTCGCTCGGACATATGGAACGAGTGCCTTCGGAGGAGGTTGCCAACGCTGCGGCATGGTACTTGCCTCATCACGCCGTTGTGCAGTGCTCGGGCACGGCGTAGAAATTACGGGTAGTCTTTGACGCTTCTCGTCAGACTAAGGACGGTTGCTCCTTGAATCATTACATGATGAAAGGTCCCCCGTTGCAGCGTGATCTTGCATTGATACTGTTGAATTGGCGTAGATATCGATTCGTTTTTACCACGGATATTGTGAAAATGTTTAGACAGATTGGGGTTGCGCCTGCCGATCAGGATTGTCAGAGGGTCGTATGGTCCCCTGATCCGGCGGTCGAACCTGTAGATTATCGATTAACGACTGTTACGTATGGCACTAATAGTGCTCCCTATCTCGCGATACGTACTCTTTTGCAATTGGCTCAGGATGAAGGAGGTAGGTTCCCCTTAGGGGCGCGTTGCCTAGAGCATTATACCTATGTAGACGATGTATTCGCGGGCGCGGATGACCTATCGTTTGCAATGAGGAAGCGTTCTGAGGTCGTGGAGCTTCTCGGGCTGGCTGGTTTCTCGCTCGATAAGTGGGCGGCGAACCATCCGAGTCTCTTGCCTGTTCCGCCTCAGTCGGTTTCTTCTACGCGAATCAACGACGATGAGTCGGTTAAGACACTCGGCATCTATTGGGATTCCATCCAAGATGCATTTAAGTTCGACAGTTTAGTCTCTCGATCTACATCGGACAAGTTGACGAAGAGGGCGATACTCTCGGATATCTCTCGACTGTTCGATCCATTGGGCTGGTTAGCTCCGGTCACCGTTGTGGCCAAGATACTGATGCAGGACCTGTGGATCATGAAATGTGAATGGGACACAGTGTTGCCTGTTGAAATCCGATCACGTTGGCAGGAGTATTGTGATTCACTGGCGGACTTGCCTAAGATTTCGATTAGCCGTTGGCTAGGGCATTCTGCAGAGGTTTCGTGTCAGATTCACGGATTTGCTGACGGCTCTTCGAGGGCGTATGCAGCAGTAGTGTACCTCAGATTGGATAGTGGGAATGAACCACCACGTGTTTGTCTGCTAGCAGCAAAAACGAAGGTGGCGCCTGTCAAGACCATTAGTATACCGAAATTAGAGTTGTGTGGAGCTTCGCTTCTTGTCAAGCTCATAAGTCATTTACGAACCGCGAAGTTTCTCACGGACGTGCCTGTTTATGCTTGGTCCGACAGTCAAATAGTTCTGGCGTGGTTGCGCAAGCATCCATCGAGTTGGAAGACGTTTACGGCGAATAGAGTCTCTTATATTCAGACGGAGTTACCGTCGGCGTCCTGGGCGCATGTTTCCACGAAGGAGAACCCGGCTGATCTGGCGACTCGAGGCTCTCTTCCATCTGCCTTGGCGTTCAATGCGCTCTGGTGGAGTGGACCGTCGTGGCTGACTCGGTCGTCGGATCGCTGGCCTCTGCCGTCGGAGATTGCAAACGTTCTGCATGTTCATGCACAGGTATTGGAGCCTGAGATTTTAGGCCGATTTTCCTCATTCACCAGGTTGGTGAGAGTGATAGCGTTTTGTAGACGCCTGCTAGTTATGGCGCGATGTAGAATGAGAGGTGCAAATCCTCTGCCTCCATTCCTCTCTACGGAGGAGCTCTCGGAGGCTCGCATAGTGGTATTTCGTTTGGCTCAATCTGCAGCCTTTGCAGCAGAATTGAAACGAATGTTTGAAAGGTTGTCAGGATTCTATAAAGAAGTAGCTTCTCTCCTAGCTAATGAGGGCACGGAATGGACATTCCGCCGAATGCACCGCATTATGGAGGATTGTGGGAAGCTGGAGTTAGATCCACTAAACATCATCTTCGAAGGGTGATAGGGGAGCACACGCTCACCTATGAGGAATTCTCCACTTGGTTAGCTCAAGTGGAAGCTTGTTTGAATTCGCGTCCTCTCAGTCAGCTGAGTGAGGACGTAGACGATTTGCGTGCACTCACTCCGATGCATTTCTTGATCGGCGAGGCACCTGCGTTGCTGCCGGACGACGGTCCGTTGGAAGGACCGGAAAATCGTCTGGATAGATTCCAACTGTTGCAACGGTTGTTGCACAGTTTCTGGGGACGCTGGTCGAGCAAGTATCTTCAGCATCTCCAAGAGAGGAGTAAGTGGAGAACTCCGGAGGAGAACATGAAGGTAGGACAGTTAGTTCTCGTGAAAGATGGACGGTACCCTCCGGCCAAGTGGCCGTTGGGCCGTATCAAGGAGGTCCATCCCGGACCGGATAACTTAGTTAGAGTGGTTACGGTGGAAACGGCCACCTCCACTTTTCGGCGACATGTAGCCGGTCTTAGTCCGCTGACAATCGGAGAAGAGCCAGGTGTGGATCGCCGCGAATTGGCGGCCGATCTAAATGTATGTTCGTCCACGGACGAAGGCGGGCGGAATGTTCGCGGCGAATGAGCGATAGTTCATATTAGCCGGGTTACCGGCGGAGCGACGTTGCCACGGCACGGCGTGAGCTATTGGCGGCGCCGGCTGCGCGTGCGCGGTATGTAAGCGAAGGTGAGCGAGAGCGAGCGGGGCATGCGCGTCGCCGCTCCTGTGACTTTTCCTTCCGGTCGACGACAGTGAGTAGAGTGCCGATCAAGCGTTGAGAGGCGACGGATGGACGACGGGCCGATCGCAAGCGATATCGGACCCTGCAAGTACGAGGTTGCAGTTACGGCCGAGTACGACCCTGGAAGGAAGCCATCGGCGCCAGGGAGCCGGCGAGGAACGCTCGAGGCTCTGGACTTGTAAGAAGGCCCGTGGATCTCGCGGGATTCCGCCACAGCCCAGACGGCTGAGCGGCCATCTTCCACCTCGGAAGGATCGAGTGACGGGGACCCTGCGCGGGCGATCTCGCCTCTGCCGGGAGTCAGCCCGGAGGACAAAGGACCCTGCCATCGGGGAAGGACGACCGCCCTGCGACTAGGTCGAGGGTGTCGATACGGTCGGTGCGCAAAGAGGCGCAGTTGCGAGCGAATATACGTTAGGAGGACAAGGTAATTGTGGG